TACTGAGTAGGTTGAAGTTCATCTGGAGCCCATGCGATTTCCAGTATCCACGTCTTTGGTCTCATGGCCTCTCAGAACCTGTGGCCTTCTGTAAGAGTAACCCGAGTGAACCCTAGTTTGTTCCAGAGCCGTATCAGGAGAAAATCACAGGTCAGTGGTTAACTAAACAAGTTTTTATATGCCTACCATAGTCCTGGGAAGGTAAGGAAAGAGCTTCACTTCTTCCTGACCCGATCCTAGGGAGAATCTTTCCATGCAAATAAATATTTTAAATTTCATATTCATATGGTCTTATATATATTACATATAACATGCCTGTACTGCTTTTTCTGATTATAAAAATTACGTAGACTTATTGTAAAGAATTTGGGAAATAGACAAAAAAGTATGATCCCTCTTCTTTCTGCCACTTAGAAATAGATGACCACAGTAATGTTTTCTTTCTTCCTTGCCTTTTTTCTATACACATAATTTTTATTTTTAAAAAATGTAGGATCATCTCCTATATTCTTGAACTTTGGGGACATATAGTGACCCTAGATCATATTGGTATTTTGGAGATACAGTTTTTGGAGAGAGCCTTGGACCTTGGATGTAGAGTGCAGTGAGGAGATGGCTTCAGCTGAGTGATTAGATGAACTACTTTTCTTTCTCTTACTACCACACTCTGATAAAATGATAGACTCTTACAATTGGTGAGGACCGGCCAGGCATGGTGGCTCACACCTGTAATCCCAGCGCTTTGAGAGGCCAAGGCAGGCAGCTCACCTGAGGTCAGGAGTTTGAGACCAGCCTGGCCAACGTGGTGAAACCCTGTATTTACTAAAAAAAAAAAAAGTACAAAAATTAGCTGGGCATAGTGGTACATGCCTGTAATTCCAGGTGCTCAGGAGGCTGAGGCAGGAGAATCACTTGAACCTGGGATGCAGATGTTGCAGTGAGCGGAGATTGTGCCACTACACTCCAGCTTGGGCGACAGAGTGAGACTCTGTCTAAATATAAATATATATTGTTGCAGTCTGTCCCAGTCTTTTCTTAGATCCTCCAAGTCCTAGTTTGGAAAATTACATATTTATCTTAAGAATATTTAGACCATAGTTTGTATAACTTTAAGGTGATTATTGAATATGTAGACTCTGATCATTCATTTCTGCAAAAGTTTAGAATACCATTTTTAAAACTTTTTTATTGTGGTAAAATATACATAGCATAAAATTTGCCATTTCAACCTATTTAAGTGTATAATTCACTGGCATTTATTTGTTTATTTAGACAGGGTCTTGCTCTGTTGCCCAGGCTAGATTGCAGTGGCACAGTCACAGCTCACTGCAGCTTTGACCTCCTGGGCTCAAGCCATCCTACTGCCTCAGCTTCCTGAGTAGCTGGGACCACAGGCATGTGCCACCACACCTGGCTAATTTTTTATTTTTAGTAGAGACAAGGTCTCACTATGTTGCCCAAACTGATCTCAAACCCCTGAGTTCAAGTGCTTCTGTTCTCCTGCCTCAGCCTCCCAAAATGCTGGGATTATAGGCATGAGCCCCTGTGCCTGGCCAGTGGCATTTATTGTAGTCACAGTGTTGTGCACCATCACCACTGTTTACAAAAATTTTCATCACCCCAAACAGAAACGCTGTACCCATTAAGCAATAACCCCTCATTTTCTCCTCCCATCAGCCCCTGGTTACAACCTCTAATCTGCTTTCTTTATTGCTGAATGTGTTCATTCAAGATAGTTCGTATAAGTAGAATCATACAGTATCTGCCCTTTTGTGCCTGGTGTATTTTACTTAGCATGATATTTTCAAGGCCGATTCATGTTGCAGCGCATATCCAAACTTAATTCGTGTTTACAACTGAAATAGTGTTTCATTGTGTTTATATACAACCTCACATTTTATTTATCAGTTGATAAACACTTTGGTTGTTTTTACCTTTTGTTTATTTTGAATAATGCTGCTTTGGACATTGGGTCCGAATATCTGTTTGACTCCTTAGAATAGCATTTTGTACACTGAGAAATGTGTAGATCTTTTATATAGAAAACTTTAGTCTTCCAGATTTCGCATGTTGACTGAAATTATTTCTGTGTAACTTAAATAAACACAAACATAAAACTAAGAATTAATAACTCCTTATAACTCTCATATACAGGTAAATTCAAAGTCAATTTTTCAATTAAACAAAAATAAAATCAGTACAGCTTTAACAATTGTTATCCAATTATATTTACTGAAAATAAATGGCTTATGTTGGTTTTAATAGTGTAAAAAGATATACTTTTGTATGATGGGCCATTATTTTAGCTTTCATCATTATCATGTTTTCTTTTTAACAGTGAATGCATTTTTAAACCAATAATCCATTATCTTGATGTGCAGCTCATTTGCTAGATTATCCCAGAATATAAATCTGGAAAACAAAGGAAAAACAGCAATTCAGTGAGAAATTATTTACTGCACATTTATTGCAACAGTTTTTTTTCCATGAACTCTTGCGAGCAGGTGCCTATGAAGGCAAAATCCAGAGAGTATATCTGCTTGCTGTCAGAGGGTGATTGCAACAAACAGGTTTTAATAATTTGGTTAACCTCACACTTGTTTTTATTGGAGCTTATTTGAACTGCTAACATCATGATGTCATTTGACCTTCATTTATTACAAACATATCACTTACTTATTCAGTCTGCCTCTGTTTACTGTTGGCCCATTTCCATTAAATCAGTACAGCACTCTAAAGGAACATGTTGTTTTTATGATGTTAAATCAGATTCTTAGTTTATTATATAAGAACCTAAAATCTTATTTCATGAAAATATGATTTACTTGGAAATTATACTGCAAATTTTTTTGCAAAAAATATGAGCACAACAAGGGGATATAGGATAATTATTGTTATTTTGACATTAGCATTTGCCAGCCTAACAGCTGTTAGACATGCTTACTGGAACCTGAAATGATCAATCCTGTTTCTTCAAGATATCACTTGGCAATATCTTAAATCCCATCATGCTACATTGTGAAGTAGTCATCCAAGGATTCAGAATATTCTTGTATTTATTCTTTATTGATACAAAAATTTTTAATGATGACACAATTCAGGTGCCCCAAAGAATATTCCAAAGGATAACACTGCCTCAGTTTGACAAATACTGGTTCAAACATTAACTCTATTGCTTTACTCACATTGAACTCTAATGCTTTATTCACAAACAGTTGGTCTACCACTTAAAGATGGGGCTTTGTGATTTCCAAACTGCACATACATTCTATTTTTACAATAAACCTTATTTATTATTTCTTCATAAGAAGTAGAGTTGCCATGTGGATGAATAGTTGTGTTGCACAAATAATATATCTTCTTCCTACTTGAGAAACTAAACTATGAGAAGAAGGTTGCTTGATGAACACAGACCCCTCTATACACACTAGGCGCTCAATAAGTGTTAAGGAATTGTTTGATTAAGCAGTAATAGCCCCCTTCCACACACGTATTACTAAAAGAAAACACTGTCAAATCAAGCTTGATAAGTGTCTCTCACAATCAGTGATGTTCTTTATCTCAATTTCATATTGACTCTATGCCAACCCTCAAACTTCTGTTTTCCACCTAGTTACACCATCTTCAAAACCAGTTTCACGGCTGTTTTTAATGAAACCCCAACTCTTATCCTATGAAAAAAATTCATAGCAAATAACACTACTCATAGTTTACACATTCCCAGAGGGGAGTCCCTTTCTGACCAAAGTGTCTCCATTTTCATTAACTGCTGACATTCTTCTTGATGATCCTCTTTCTGGGGTGGGGACTTATAAATCTCCTGTCTACTTATTGCCAATAATACACCTTTCATTGAAAAATACTAAATATTTTCTATATTTAACTTATGTAATTTTATACCTCATTATATTTCTAATTCTTGATTAGCCATATTTTATCTCCACAAAAGTCATAAAATGTTGATGAATATATGATTTATGTAGTGATCATCTTTCTATTGACATTAGCGGATATACACTATAGTATCTGGTTTTTTTGTTTTAAAAATTAAGTTTAATAAATACAACTTATTTTTACCATGTCATTCTTCAGTACCGCTTTGTAGTATTTAACATGTTTCAAAATGTATAAATATGACCTCCTATCAAATCACCACTGAAAGTCAAGAATCTACCTATAAGTTTGTAGTGCCTTGCTTACAGAAGGAGAACAATAATATATTTTGAATAAATGATTAGATAAATAAGTGGGTATTACCTGAATCGATTCCATTAACATTTTAAAATCCCTACCTTAATTTTGACTCATCTAACCAACAGAAGTTCAGTCTGGCTGTAGCCTCTCAGAACAGACATTTTGCAAAATATATATAGTTGACTATTAGGAAGAGGACCTTCACTGTAAATAAATGGGGTATCTCTTCAGTCATTCTCCTCCGTTATCAGTCAGGTGGGCTTGGAGTAAACACCTCTCTTATCGCTTCTTCAACCTCATTTTCTTTCTAAATTTTCAGAAAGCTTCAGTAGAAATGTTTAAACTTCCAAGAAAGACAACTTTAGCAGAATTACATACTGGTTGGGCACATATACATCTTTGTAAATGTACGTAAAAGAAAACTAAGACCAGGTGTGGTAGCTCACACCTGTAATCCCAGCACTTTGGCAGGCCAAGGTGGGAGGATTGCTTGAGCCCAAGAGCTCGAGATCAGCCTGGACAACATAGACCCCACCTCTAAAAAAAAATAAATAATAAATTTAATTAGCTGAGTGTAGTGGTATGTGCCTGTAGTCCCAGCTACTTGGGAGACTGAGGCAGGAGAATTACTTGAGCCCAGGAGGCCAAGGCTGCAGTGAGCCAAGATCACACCACTGCACTCTAGCCTGGGCAACAGAGCAAGATCCTAGCTCAAAAAAAAAAAAAAAAATGAGTAGGAAGCCTGTTTTATTCTACTATTATAAATGTGAAATTTTATGCAACTTTGCATTTTATTTTTCATACAGGCAGAAATACTCAGTGTCCTCAGTCACAGAAACATCATCCAGTTTTATGGAGTAATTCTTGAACCTCCCAACTATGGCATTGTCACAGGTAAGAACTCAGTATTTGACTTCTTTCTTTTTCCAATTACCTAGCTTTAGATTCCTTAATATGCTAAAATGCTTAATATTAGGTTCAATCATGAATTGTGTGTTACTGTCAGATGTCACTTTTGTTGCTATAAAGCATTAATAAAACTGATTATATCAATATAATTAAGAATAGTGTTTCCACTTCTACCCATGTTTAATTGTGCTAATTATATCTGCGTAAATGCTATTTAAATGCACTTGCAGCTGCAATACCAATATTTCAAGGTGCCGTTTAACTAAAATTTCATTTAATTAGCTGAAATGAGAGATGTTTTTTGTAACTCTGTGACCTTTTATAAATTAAGATTTCTTGAGCTATTCATGTTGTAATTCTTTGCAAGGCATTTTAATCCCATTAGAGCATTCTTTCTTCAAGGTCTCTGACATGAGAACAATATTTTTCAGGTTTGGTCAACTAAGTTGGTAATGACCTTGATCTAAATTATCATATAATTTGGAGCAGCAGTTTATAACTGACAGACATACCCTTTCTAAAAAGGAGCACATAGAAAGTTTTGCCACATGAAAATACAGAGAGACACATATCTTTAATACTTTATGCTCATATTTGTATAATCCACTGAATAGCTTGTAGGTCTACAATAACTCGGTTTTACAACAGATAACTTTGATCTCTATCTTGGCAATTCTTTGATTAAAACAAAGTCAAACAAGAAAACCTTAAAATATTAGCCATATCTTTTCCCACGATAGAGGTGAGAACCTGGATTGTCTTTATAGAAAATAACAACAAAACACCCCTCAACAAAAAGGATTGTATTAAGTACTTTCTATAAATTATCTCATCTAATACTTACAGTAATCCTATGACATAGATAAAATAATTTCTATTTTACTAGTAAGAAACTACATCTCTAACTTAAGCAGCTTTCCCATGGTCACCTAGCTAGTGGTAGAACCAAAGCGCTATAAATTCCTCAAGCTGATTCTCCACAGAAGCTCCTCTTCTATGCAAGCTAGGTTCTGGAAAGCTGTGAGCTGACTGGTTCTTAAACTCAGAGAAACATGGTTGCTGTTATTCCATCTTCTGGCAGCAGGTAGTTTAACATGCTTTTACTCTTAGTAGCATTTTAACCTAAGTTCTTAAGTGGAGGGACTTTTTTCCCCAATTCACTGCCTTTAGATCTGTGACTGAAATGGGACATGTAGCAATTTTTATCTTGAGTCTATATTTCCTATAAACGTAAATACCCAAGAATGGAGTATATTGTTGGTTAGGGGGGAGGTAACCATACCTCACGTTTTAAGTCAGATTTCTGATTTAAAGTTAAACCTTTCTTTGTCAACCCATATACCATGTGGCTCCTTTTTTCTGTGTCTATTGTATCTACTTTTTTTTAACTAGTTATATTTACTTTTTAAATCTGAATCCAGTGTTCTGATCCTCGTTTGTGGCTGATATTATTCCTCCCTAAGAAAGTGTGATACTCCCAAGAGATTAGAAATTCTGTTTCTTGTTATATACTCTTGATGTTTAATGCTTTTTGAAAATATTTTTGGCCAACTAATGAGCTATTCATGAAGTGTTCTAGTTTCTTGAGGTGAGGGTGAATGGAAAAAAGAGGACCTGAGTGGTGATATGAAATTATTTTTCCAAGAGTTTACTCTGAGTAGGAAGATATGAAACATTCTTAGCCAGCATATTTCCCCTAGGTCACCTCATCTAAAAGAGGGAGAAATAATCCAAGAAGTTCGCTTTCATTCAGTATTTGTATCACACTAACCAGTCCTTTATTTCATTCATCCCTTTAGCATTCTCTACTCATACTTGCAACTACCAAATTATTTAGTTAAATTGATTGTTTTTTTATGGATCCATATCTCTCTCTCTGTAGAGCCAGTAAGAAAGCAACTGTTAACATTAAACATAAGAATTAAAACAACACAAGTTTCGGATTATGAGGTAGTAGTAGATTGTGAATTTATAGCTCTTATTGACCTATGAGATTGATTATTAAAGAGACCTGTTAGATGAGTTTTAGTGTTTTGAATGTATTGATTTGATATGATTATCTTTGTTCCTAGAGATATTAGTTTTAATTAACTAAGTGCTATTTATGTGAGCCTTTCAACCTACCATCTACAGCTATGCTCTGTGCGTGGGTAGTAGAAAATATGACAACTGAGCCCAGTTTGGGAGGGAAGAGATCACATGGATTAGTGATGATGACACTTACTCTGCCACTGGAAATGAGCACAAATAAGTCTTAGTATGAGGCGGTTAAGAGAGAAGCAAAGATAGGCAGGAAAACTGACCTTGATCACCCAGCCCCAGCCAGATACCCCTCTGTGAACCTCATCGTATTTATCAAATGGTGGAGGCTCTAAAGGAGGAAACTTGGATGGCTTGAATCCATTCAATTTGAGGTAGTTTTTTTGTTTTTGTTTTTGTTTTTTAAATAGAAAAGGTTGTTGCAGCAGGCAGCTGTTGTCATTCATGCTGAGGGCTTGAAAGAATTATTTATCAGAGTGGTGGAATGGAATGAGCAATGGAATGGGAATTGTGAGATGTGAGATCTTGTCTTGATTCTGCCAGAGCTTCATAGATGGGTCACTGATGATCTCTCTCTGTCTGTTTTCTCATGTGAATGAAGGGACTAGAATACATGATCTCTGGGTGAGAGCATGTATGTATGTGTATAGTTGTGCATGTGTGTTTGCTGAAACTTTTTATCACAGACATATAAAACCTGCTAATCAGGGGACCTGGGGAAGAGACTAAGAGGCAGCTGCCAATTTATTTCCCATCGAAGGGAAATGAACATCTTTCTCCCAGATCTACAAAGAAATGGGGTGACAAGAAACTCAGACTCCAAAGCCAAAAGAAACAATAATGGATCATCTTTTCTTTTTCTTTTCTTTTTTTTTTTTTTTTTTGAGACGGAGTCTTGCTCTGTTGCCAGGCAGCAGTGGTACGAGCTGGGCTCACTGCAACCTCCACCTCCTGGGTTCAAGCAATTCTCCTGCCTCAGCCTCCTGAGTAGTTGGGACTACAGGTGTGCGCCACCACGCCCGGCTAATTTTTGTGTTTTTAGTAGAGACGGGGCTTCACCATGTTGGCCAGGATGGTCTCGATCTCTTGACCTCATGATCTGCCTACCTCAGCCTCCCAAAGTGCTGGGATTACAGGTGTGAGCCACCACGCCCGGCCTGGATCATCTTTTCTTTGATCTTTGGAAACCTCTTCATTCTGTACTACTCCCATTATTTTATTTCTCTGTGTGTGTGTGTGTGTGTGTGTAAAACATAAATACATGAGGGCAGGGGGAGTTCCTGGGAGATGAAGGAAGGAGTTGTTAGGTACCAGACCATGTAGCTCTTTTGCAGCAAGCCAGATTGGAGAGGAACCCACACCCAAAGTATCTGGTAATCTAAGAGTAAAAAAAGGGTGGCAGACTGGGTCCCAGGGTTCCAGAGAGAAGTGATTTAGGATCCCAGATGCCTGGAAATTGCTCTTTGTTGTCAGGGGCTGATCTCACCTCTTAAGTTACCTGTTCTGCATTAGCCTCTATTACTTCTCTAAGAGAGGAGACTAGTTCTGCATCATTTCTCAGCAGGCCCATATTCTCATTCAACCCAGCCAAGGAAAACATACTAATTTTTAAGTGCCCAATCTCATTTCCCTTAACTTGATCTTGATTTATTTTAAGCACAAATACATCTAATTTGCATGTTTTGATATTGTGCTGGTCTTTTTTTATTAGTCAATTAGAGACAAGTGTCACATTTTGTTGTAACACGTTTCAGACATTTGCGTAAATTTATTTATTCTATTAGTTATAATCTAAATTAAGCTTGGTCTTGGTGACATTACAAAGAGATTTCATGGTAATGGTTTTGTTCCAACAAAACTGATATTATGTTTACATTTTTCGAAGCCAGCTATTGTCACCGTAAAACTCAAAGGGAAGAATCATCTTATAAATGAAAAGGAAATGTTTGCTTAATGTGGTTCTTAATGACTTTAAAAAAAAAAAGAAACAAATGCTTTATACTAAAATCCAGTAAACTACTTTCTTCAGAGAAGTGGTTTGAAAAGCATGTGACCATATGTGTATATAGTGAGTCCACAATTTCCAATGGGAAAACCAAAAGGATGAAAGAATTGAATGCTTATTTAAAATAGTTAATATGTTAGTTTAGCTATCCACATACCTAAAGATGATATTTTATATGAAATAAAGGTAATAATATTGCCCTTCTTGCAACTTCAGTCATGAAACCATTTTATTTAATGATGTATCTTTTTTATTATACTTTAAATTCTGGGATACGTGTGCAGAACGTGCAGGTTTGTTACATAGGTATACACGTGCCATGGTGGTTTGCTGCACCCATCAACCCATTATCTACATTAGGTATTTTTCCTAATGCTATCCCTTCCCTAGCATTAAATAAAACCCCCCCACAAGCCCCGGTGTGTGATATTCCCCTCTCTGTGTCCATGTGTTCTCATTGTTCAACTCCCACTTATGAGTGAGAACATGTGGTGTTTGGTTTTCTGTTCCTGTGTTAGTTTGCTGAGAATGATGGTTTCCAGTTTCATCCATGTCCCTGCAAAGGACATTAACTCATCCTTTTTGTGACTGCATAGTATTCCATGGTGTGTATGTGCCACATTTTCTTTATCCAGTCTGTCATTGATGGGCATTTGGGTTGATTCCAAGTCATTGTTATTGTGAATAGTGCTGCAATAAACATACGTGTGTGTATGTCTTTATAGTAGAATGATTTATACTCCTTTGGGTATATACCCAGTAATGGGATTGCTGGGTCAAATGGTATTCCATGTCTTCATCATCATTAGAATGACTTTTTAAAGTTAACGTGGTTTTTGGAGTAGTGTCTTAACTATAGTATAAGATGTTTGAAGTATCATGGTTTGGGGAATCTCTGTATAATACTATCTCTGGGTATTTATCTCAAGCTACAAGTACCCAATGGCATAACATTAGGATTGTTGAATATTTTAGTCCCATATGGTATATTTATAATCATAACTGACTGCTTTTCAAAGTGATCTTTAGAAGGCTCATTTTCAGTGACATCCCGCAGTTGGAATTGAGAGCTTATAGTTCCAGGAATAATTGGCTCTGTGTTAAATTTTGTTACCCTTCCCTTATTCCCTCCCTCCCTTTTGTCTTATTCTTATAGGTGACCTTTATAAGCTTTGAAAAACTGGCTTTGATTGAGATCATCTCAGACTTATATATTTTTCCCTAAACAGTGTTTTGTTGTTCAAATAAAGTAATGGAGAGAGCATCTTAAAATATGAGGGATTTTAGAAGTTCCTGAATATAAGTTGACTCGTTCTTTTCTTAGGTATAATTTTACAGGACTACAGTTGCCATCTTTGTAATATGCACATGACTGTTTCAAGTGTAAACATATTTATCTTAAGAACTGTGTCGTGCCTAAGAGCCATTCGTAGGGTGCCGCTTGTCTGTAAACTGGCCTACTTGTCCTTATGAATAATGAGGGCTGACTAAACTTGATTGAAACGTGAGGAACTTTGTGTTTGTAAAAGTTAGCAGTGTTTCTTATTTCAAGGGTTTTATGGCATTCTCTTGCTTATTCTATTAAACCTTTTATTCTTTAAACCTTACAGTGGGCCATATGTATGAAGTTTATAAAGTATTAATGATCTTAACCAAAACAAGAAAAAAAATTCCAAACGGTTCCCACTTCTGTACTGTTTTATCATCTCATAAGTTTAAATAAGATGTTCTGCTGCCATTGTTTTTTTTACTGTTCACTGTATTAGCACTTTCTCCGATGTGCTTTGGAGGCTGATCGATGAATTTCTTAGACATTTTGCTGGAATCAGTTTAAGGGTGTCTGACTAGATGGTGAACAGTAGACTGAGAGAATCTTCAAGTGACCACGTCATTGTTTTCTTGCTGTCTTTACTTGGTGATTAAGATACAATTCTTTTTAAAACCAAATGGCACTGGTTATCATATTTCCCAAATCAGAAATCTATTTCAGTTAATATTTTAAAGAAATACAAAGCCATAACAAAAACCAATGTTATTTTTACTACAGAGTGTTAATGGATATAAAGAGGTTAGCGAGACATAGCGTTTAATTAATGATGTTTATTTTCACTATATTTAATGAGTAGTACTTTTATCTCCTTTAAAGAAAAATAATGTTTATTGGTTAAAGGTAAGAAATGATAGACACCAATTTAATTTCAACATCTTTGACTATATTATAGACATGTACATATTTATGGTTTGGAAGATTTGATGTTGTCAAGAGGGCACTTCTCCCCATCATGATCTATAAATTCCACGCAATTCCTATCCAAATCCCAGCAGACTTTTTTTTAGAAATTAATAAGCCAATCCTAAAATGTATGTGGTAATGCAAAATAGTCAAACCAATTTTGAGAAAGAACTAACTTTGAGGACTTAGATTGCCTCATTTCAAAACTTACAAATCTGTAGTAATCAACCTAATACAATATTGGCATAATATCTACAGGGATGTAGACCAAAGGAACACAGTTAAAAGTCTAGGGAAAAGGCCTTACATTGATTGGCAATTGATTTTCATCAAAGATGCCAAGACAGTTAAGTAGGTAAAAGACAGTCTTTGATCGTTGAGACAATTAGAAATTCGTATGCCAGGGCCAGGTGCAGTGGCTCACGCCTGTAATTCCAGCACTGGGGAAGGCTGAGGCGAGAGGATCACTAGAGCCCAGGAGTTCAAGACCAGCCTGAGCAACATGGCAAAATCCCGTCTGTACAAAAAAAATTAGCTAGCGTGGTGATGTGCACCTGTAGTCCCAGCTACTAGAGAGGCTGAGGTGGGAGGATTGCTTGAGCCCAGGAGGTTGAGGCTTGCGGTGAACCAAGAGTGTGCCACTGCACTCAAGCCTAGGCAACAGAGTGAGACCTTGTCTCAAAAATAAATTCATATGCCAAAGAAAAATTAGAGCCACACCTCAGACCATACATAAAAATGAACTCAAAATGGATCATAAGCCTAAGTATAAGGGTTAAACTATAAACTCTTAAAAGAAAAATAGGAGAAAATCTTCATGCTTTGGGGTTAGGCAGAGAGTTCTTACAAATGATACCAAAAGCACAGCCATAAAAGAAAGTTGATAAATTGGAATTTATAAAAATTAACAATTTCTGCTCTTTGAAAGATGATCTTAAGTGAATGAAAAGACAAATGACAAACTGGGAAAAAATATTTGCAAATCATATATATGACAGAGGACTTGTATCTAAAACTAAAAAAAAATTATTAGAACTCAATAAAACAACCCAACGTAAAAATGAACAAAAGATTTTAATAGTCATTTTGCTTAAAAATATATAAAAGGGGCTAATAGGCACATAAAAAGATGCCCAACTTCGTCAGTCACTAGGGAAATGCAAATTAAAAGCTCTGTGAGATACCACTAGTGTTATACCCACTACAATGGCCATAATCAAAACAACAGACAGTACTCCTGGGCACAGTCACATGCACCTGTAATCCCAGCTACTTGTGAGGCAGAGGGTGGCAGGGAAGGACTGCTTGACAACAGGAGTTTGAAGTTTGAGGTTAGCCTGGGCACCATAGCAAGACCCTTTTCTCAAAAAAAAAAAAAAAGACAATATCAAATGTTGGTGAGGATGTGGAGAAACTGAAACCCTCATACATTGCTGGCAGGAATATAAAAATAGTACAGCCTCTTTGGAAAACAGATTGATAGTTTCTTTAAAAGTTAGACATAAACTTACCATATGGCCCTGCAATATCAGTCCTGAAATCTACCCAAGAAAAATTAACATATTTACATACATAGACATGTACACAAATGTTCAGAGGAGTATTATTCGTAATAGCCAAAAACTGGGAACAATCCAAATATCTATCAACTGGGGACTGAATAAATCAAATGTAGTATATCTGTACAACAGAACAGTATTCAGCAATAAAACTGAATGAAGTCTTCTTGTACGCTTACCATTTGAGTGAACTTAGAAAACATTATGCGGCCAGGCGCAGTGGCTTAAGCCTATGATCCCAGCACTTTGGGGGGCTGAGACAGGTAGGATTGCTTGAGCTCAGGAGTTTGAGATTAGCCTAGACTACATAGCAAGACCTCATCTCTACTGAAAAAAAAAAAAAAAAATCAGCCTCAGCATGGTGGTGTGTGCCTGTAGTCCCAGCTACTTGGGAGGCTGAGGTGGGAGGATTGCTTGAGCCTGGGAGGTAGAGGCCACAGTGAGCCAAGGTCAAGGCTGCAATAAGCTGTGATCACACCACTGCAGTCCAACCTGGGCAACAGAACGAGACCCTGACTCCAAAAAAATAGAAAGAAAAAAGACATTATGCTGAGGGAATGATGTCAGACACAAGGAACAATTTGTATGATTCTGTTTATATGAACTATCCAGAAAAGACACATTGGTAGAGAGAAGAAGCAGATTGTAGGGCTGGGGTGAGAGTGATGATTAACTGCAAACCGGCACAAGAGAACTGTTTGTAATGATGGAAAGGTTCTAAGACTGGATTGTGGTGGTGGTTGCCCAACTTTATGAATTTGCTAAAAATCATCCAATAATATACTTATTGCGGGTGAGTTTATGGTATGTAATTTATACTTCATTTTTAAAGGATTTTTCTCACTTTTTTGACCTTTTGTGCTAAAATTTTGAGAACTCTTCCAAGTCCTTATGCGGCGATGATTGATTTGTTTGCATTGTCATATAAGCTCTCTGATTTATGCATTTAATATCTATCTCATAAAAATAACAATTTTTAAAGAAATATCTATTTACATACATACCTTTGTTTCAAATTTATTCTTCCAACACCTCTTCGTGTTTCTCAGTTCCAGCTAAATGGCTTTTGATTCTCAACTGAAGTTTACTATTCATTGTATGTTACTGGTCTTGTGTTTGACAGATATTTTTCAGGATGACATTAACTTTTAGAAACCATAGCATGGAATAATTTTTTATATACTTTTGATATCTTTTGGTAAATTCTTTAACGTATTTTCTCAATGAAAATATAAAGTCTTATTTCTGAAATGTACCTTGATTTTAATTATATGCTTATCTTTCCTTTTAAAATAGAATATGCTTCTCTGGGATCACTCTATGATTACATTAACAGTAATAGAAGTGAGGAGATGGATATGGATCACATTATGACCTGGGCCACTGATGTAGCCAAAGGTAATAATATTTGGTATATTCTTACAGAATTGGTGGGGTGCATTTTCCCCTCCTGAAATGGGGACTTACCATCAGAAAATGTTTTATTCTGTCTTTAGATGTTCTTTTTTCAGACCAAAAGTAGTAAGAATTCCAAAGCTGATTGTACAGATAACATTTTGGGTCATTGCCTTTCCACTCCTGAATTCCTTTTCTCTTTCTTTTTTCTCTACTTTATTTCTATTCATGAAATCTAGTTGTAGCTTCAGGGCAGACATGTTTGTCATGTTTTGTGATATTATAATTGACTAGCGTGCTTGACACATTAAATGGAAAAATCATAATTCTGTTGTTCTGAAAGTCTCTACTTAGACTCAGTATCCAGAAAACATTTATTGTAGAATTAGTTCTACTCATTTTGTGTATATAATATGCTAAAAATAGAAACCACTTGCAAAAAATAATTTTTATTTGTCCTGCCATCTAAAAGCAATTCAGATTTTATTTTACATTTAATGTAAACTTACTTAGGCATCGCTGTTGGAAATTAAATATTTTTAATACACCAAACCCCTAAACAAAGTCTTTTTTCTCATACATTCCTGCATAGATGAATGCTTTCTAAAGCAATTCAAACTTCATTTATTTTTATCTTTTTTTTTTCCATTTTCCTGACTGAACATTTCTGGGCTTTATTTATAACTGTCAGAGTTGCTTTGGAAACAACTTCATCTAAATAATGAACACTGATAGTTATATTTGTATTCTAGCAACCCCTACAAAGTGTGTCTGAATTTTCCTGGGGCAATTAACTCCTTTACATTTTACTACTCCATTCTCTACAAGCATCTCTTTACAAAGCAAATAGAACGAGATTTAGCACTCAATAAGGGAAGCAACTCATGCGTTGATTTCACTGTGTGACTTCCAAAAGTAGTAGTGTTTCCTTTGGGGAATTGTCTATTTTAAGTTTCATCAACACCTACCAAATTCTTCAAATAGGGAAAGTGAAAAAAAATTTGAGTTTCATGCTGGATGCTGCTGCTGAATGATGCCTCATTACATTATAAAAATAATAAGCTCTGTGTTTAGGGTAGTGTACATGAGACTTTAGCTATGTTAATTTGCTTAATTGTGTATTGATGCATCGGGCATCTCAAATCATGCGGAAACCTTCATATTCTTAAAGATATTTTCATGTAACATCGTAGAGACTTCTCTTCTTGTCAGTAGAACACAAGGACCAGCTCTCTGTAAGCAAGGTGATGTGCCTTGATTAGGAGCTGCCTGCAACATTGTGGAAATACCCTTCAATAATGTAAATGCATATGTAGGTAGTCCTTAACTTACAGCATATCACCTTACATACATTTGCATTTAGGGTGCTCAGCCAGTTAAAACCATGCCACTACTTATTGGCACTTAGAATAGATAGACAGCAAACAAATCAGCTAACATCAGTCACTCTGCTTCCTGCTGTGCTCTACTTAAGCATCCCTGGTTCCCAGTCTGGGAACCTCTTCTCCCTGCACCCCCTTAAGCACATGCCACATCATCCCGAGTGAGGGGTAAGTCTCTTGGCTTCACATCAGCTGAGTCATTCTTGGTGTTTTCTCGAGAGTGCTAGTGCTCTGTATCAGAAGGCAAGGAAGAGAAGGAAAGGAATTAGGTAGTCAAAACTGACCTGGGTGCAGTGGCTCACCGCCTATAATCCCAGCACTTTGGGAGCCGCAGTGGGTGGGTCTCTTGAGGCCAGGAGTTTGAGGTCGAGGCTGGCCAACAAGGCGAAACTCTGTCTCTACTAAAAATACAAAAAATTAGCTGGGCGTGGTGATGCCTACTCGCCTGTAGTCAACAACTTGGGAGGCTGAGGCACGAGAATTGCTCAAGCCCAGAGGGTTTGCAGTGAGCCGCAACATCAAGCCGACTGCACTCCAGCCGGGAGTGAGAGTCTAGTCTAGAAAAAAAAAAAAAAAAAAAAAAAAAAAAAAAAAAAAAAAAAAAGATTAGATAGCAAACTGGTTAAAAATAAGAAGGAGAAGCCAGGCGCGGTGGCTCACGCCTGTAATCTCAGCACTTTGGGAAGCCAGGGAAGGCGGATCACCTGAGGTCAGGAGTTTGAGACCAGCCTGACTATCATGGAGAAACCCCATTTCTACTAAAAATACAAAATTAGCTGGGCATGGTGGTGGCGCATGCCTGTAATCCCAGCTACCTCGGGAGGCTAAGACAGAACAATCACTTGAACCCGGGAGGCAGAGGTTTGTGGTGAGCCAAGATTGGGCCATTGCACTTCAGCCTGGGTGGCAGAGCGAGACTCCTTCTCAAAAAAAAAAAAAAAAAAAAAATAGGGAAGGAGAGAATGGGATTGGGCCCCCGATGGTGTCCAAAACTGCAGATTAATAAAATCCCTTTTGCCTGTCTGGCTAATGTGTTTCACCTCAGGTGAGAAGAGTGAGGCAGAGAAGAGGCTTGTATGTTTATGGACACAAGTAATACTTAACATTTTAAAAATCCTTTAAAGATGGCCCCCAAAAAAAAACAAATCAGGGCTTTAGGAATGACTTCAGCTTTCTCTGATAAAGCTGTGTGTAGAACTTAAGAATTTAAGAGATTAAGTAGGAAGGCTTGATTTTTGTAGATTCTGTTTCAAATTCAGCTATGTACCTTTTGGGATGACCTATGGTTGAATCCACTGGAGCAATGATATGTTGAGAAATCAAAAAATGAATAGTTTATTTTAAGTAAAGGTTGATTCATGTATTTTGAAATAGGCATTGCTCAGCATCATTGCTGTTGAGACAATATCTCCTCAAAGCAAAAAAGATTCTCTTCTTTCTGGATGTGAGGATAAATGGAGGGTGGACCAGCAAGTATATCTGAAATCGCTGCAAGTCAATCAGCAATGCTTAAAAGGAACAAAAGCAGATAAACTCCAATCCAGTCTCAAAATGGTCACCACTCATTCCAATTCTCCCCAAAAGTCTCCTCAGTTATACCTGCCAACTCTTTTTCTAGGAAACCCTGAATGTACACCTGATGAAAGTATTTTTCAGCCTTCTTAATTGTTTGCAATAAAAATAAGGCAGAATTATAGATGGATCTACAAAAACATTAAATAGAATTTTATGTGAGTGTGATGACTATTGTTTATATGAAATATTATTTAAATGTGTACTATGCACTGTACACAAAAACTTTATGGTACTTTTTGCTTATGATAATCTGCCATGAGGAAGAAAAGTGCCTATATTTAAAGCTTTTGTATTTGAGTCTTGTTTTTTGAAATCCTCACTTGTCAGCAAGTGTAGAAACTATCTCTACCAGTAATAGTAATTATACAGTTCCTACCTGAAAAATTATTAAGGAATTTGATTCTAAAGCAAGACAGAGGTAACTGTGAAATCCAGTCATATAGATTATTAAATGCTACCCAAGTTGTAGCTATTGAATTTTTGCAGTTTGAGGGATGTAGAACTTCGTATCAGAAGAGAAATTTCCTTTATCCCAGTTACATCTTATCTAAGATCACATAATTACTAATACTTGTGTTAACTTGACTCTTTTCAGTAATATCATTCGGTGATATCATTAAAAGGCAAGAGTTTAAATTTTTTTATTTTCTTTGTCCTTTCACGATTCTTCAATATACAATAATTAAAATAGTAGAAGAAGAAGAGATTTTAAAATTAACCTCTATAAAATTAAAATGTTCTATACACTTTAAAAAGCCAAAGCCTCTTATTAAATTATTTTCAATGTATTGTTCATTTTAAAAAGAAACCTGTTTGATTTGGAGGTGAGGGGGAGGCTGTTTCTGCCATTATTTAGAAAAGACAACTTGAGAAATAAAGAAGATATATTTTAGTAGAAAATCATCCTTTTTTTATTCTAAAGGGGTAGACAGTACATAAATACAGAAAGGGTCAAAAACTGCTAAGGTGGTAACCATAAAATATGTCTTTAAAGTATAATTTTTGACTCAAAATAATAAAACTCTGAAAAGTTTATATATACCCAATATACTGAAGTAATTGGATTTACATCCTAAATATGATGGAAAGAATTTTGGAGTATGTTGAAATACAGATTATCTCAAAGATTTATCCTTGTGAAAGGAATGAAATATTTTGTAACTACTATATACTTTTTTATCGGAAGATCATAAAATTATTTACTAACCATAACTAATCCTCCCAGTTCTCCCCACTGCTACTCCACATCCACTCCCAGGTCTTGTTGGAATGGGTACTGAGAAAATAAGCCAAGCTGCAGCTGGGTAACCATAGACATCCGGAACTTTGGTAACTGGACATCAGAATCTGCAGCTGGGTAACCGCAGACAACCAGATGAAAACCGCAAATTTTACTCAGAACTTTGACAGATTTAGAAGGTAGTTGGTAGTGGAATACCTTAGTCATAGAGCACTCCTTTCAGTGGTTACTGTACTATTTTCACGCAGACTGCAGAAAATTAAGGTGTCCTTAGAAGGTATTTTAAGAAGTTAGCTTTACCCACAGTCAAATTCCTAATCTCTAAGAGATTAAAGTTTATAAATTTGACTTCACATATACATGTTACTAATGTAGATATATTCTTTTCTCATTTTATCAGTCATGGAAGAATAAGACATGTGAATTAGTTTCTGCTCTTGAGTTCTTTGAAAAACTATGAAAGGTAATACTGATGTAATGTTGAAAAATATTAATAGGCCTTTCTTTCTTCTTGTGTGAAAAGGAATGCACTATTTACATATGGAAGCTCCTGTCAAGGTGATTCACAGAGACCTCAAGTCAAGAAACGGTAATGTAGTTATGTTTTTATTTTACCTATTTTATTACAAATTATATACACTTGCATGTAGAAATGAGCATCATGCTTTTACATACCTTTTGTAACCTACTATTGGACTCACTGCTGATACCATGGAAGCCTTTCTACTGTCAATAAATAACAAAATCCTTGATATTATTTGAGGAAGCTGCACAGCATTTCACTGTATAAATATAGCCCAGAATGTGGACATTTGAATTGTTTACATTTTTTCTCTGATAAGAAATGTTGGGCTTACTATTTCAGCCAAATTTTTCAAGACATCCCTAATTATTTCCCTAGAATCATTTTCTAAAAGAGATACTGCTGTGTCAAAGTGTGCAGTCATATATTTTTAGTCTTCTATTTTTAGGTGGCTTTGTGCACTATCAATTTTGAATTTTGTTCTTGTTGCGTCTGAATTGCATGGTGTAAATTGTTTGTGCCAGTCCTGCCTGTATTACCTGGAGTAGGGTGCAAAATGAGCCACATGTTTGGAAGTTTGGAAAGTAAAGGCTCTCTTTTTCTTCTTTCTCTTCTTCTGTACTTTCTAAAGTTTATTTATGGCCCTGTATTTTATAATTTGGAGGGTGAGCATTTTAAAATAACTTGCAGGATTAGACATTACCTTCAAGTAGGAGTGGTAACAGAATGCTTCTTCCATTATGTCACTTCAGAGTTATCTGAGAAAGGCAGTAGGGTTATAGAACTAGCCAAAGTAAACACCAGAGTTTGCTACTATTTTGAATACCCTCGTATCAATTAATTATTTACATGCTTTCTAAATGCTCCCTCTCAGCAAGGAGGAAGAGAACTCTCTATTTTTAGGAGATCTTTAATTAAAATGAGTATATGCTAAGAGTGTGATCCTTAGAACAGGTAGTGATGACAAGTAGTGGAAGAGGACCAGGGAATGAATCGATCAGGTACCCTTGCACATGCCCCAGGACTGTGACATTTGTGTGTGTGAGTGTGTGTGTGTTTAGCAGGGGGTGAAGAGATAGGGGCGGGGAGGGAAGTTATCGGGACCTGCCACTCATCAGTAGTCCAGGTTGGCCCACCAATTTAACCCTGTCTGATTGTCCTTTCCTCTTCTAGGCTATCACACATTCTTTGGTTCTTCTTAGACATAAGCTTCCTGGAACTAAGCACTTTTGATATATGGTCAGCTAACAGGAAGTCATTAGGAAATAATCTAGACTGTAGTAGAAAATATCAGTTTTATGAATTTGTAAATTTTCAGTTCATGATCAGAATTCCAATTTAACTATATTGTTGGACTTCAGTATATCTTAAATCTTGTACAAAAGAGGAATGACTAACTAAATTATGGATTTATCCATGCTATCATTATGAAGGCTATATAACAATGGAGAATGTCCCCATTTTAAAAAGTTACAGTTATATGTGTTATAGTTACTAAATAGAAAAACACATACACTCATATTGAAAGAATACAGAACTAACTTATAGCAATTCTTTTTCCCTTGGAAAGGTAACCAGAGTTTCACTTTCTGTGTTATGTTTTTTTTGTTTTTTTTTTTTTTTGAGACGGAGTCTCGCTCTGTCGCCCAGGCTGGAGTGCCGTGGCCGAATCTCAGCTCACTGCAAGCTCCGCCTCCCAGGTTCACGCCATTCTCCTGCCTCAGCCTCCCGAGTAGCTGGGACTACAGGCGCCCGCCACCTCGCCCGGCTAATTTTTTGTATTTTTTAGTAGAAACGGGGTTTCACCATGTTAGCCAGGATGGTCTCGATCTCCTGACCTCGTGATCCACCCGTCTTGGCCTCCCAAAGTGGTGTTATGTATTTTTATAGTGGCAGTTTTTCTAATGAGCACTTGTTCATCTTATAATGAGAAAGCTGAATATAAAATTAATAATATTTACATTTCTATTTATAAAAGTTTATAGCTTAATACTTATAGTATCAGGTTTACCCTGAGGCAATTTTCAAATGTTATGTCATACAAAGCTCATTTTCCCTCCTTGGTGAAATCATCGGTAACTCGTAAGTATTGATCATCTATCATGTTCAAGGCACTGCACGGTTTACAAAAGAAACATCTGAAACAGTTCTTCAGAACTTTGTCCTTGGACTCATCTCCTCTTTTGCTCTGATCCCTGCACTCCCATAAAAGCCCTATTTACATGTTAACACTCGAAAACAGATCTCAACTTCAAAACTATATATCTATCTGCTGATTAGACACATCCACATAGATATTTGTTATATCTATGTTATAGATATTTGTTATATCTATGTTATAGATATTTGTTATATCTATGTTATAGATATTTGTTGTATCTATTTGTTAAGACCCTAAAATATATTATGTCCAAATTAATCTTTTCATTTTCTCGCTACCCCCAAAAAATCATCCCTGCATTTCCTTTACCAAGTGGCAGTACTGTTTGCCCAAGCCAGAAATGAGATAAATAGTAGTTACTGTTTAAATCCAGAGCTCCTATTCTAACCATTAATCTGTATTGGTTCTTTATCTGATTTTATCCTTGAGTTCTCTTCCTTCTCCCCCAATAACCAGCCATTCATCAAGCCTAGGTGATCCTACATCGTAAATATTTTTTGACTCGGTCAACTTTTCTCCTGTCCTTTGCCACTGCCTTAGTACAGGCGTCCTCATCTGTCTCCTGGACCACAAAACCTTGAGTGCAAAGTGATCCCCTTGCCTCCAGGTCTATTCTTCTCTGACATAGTCTCCCCTCTGCAACTTTGCTCATTTCATTCCTCCACATAAAATTGTTCATTGGCTTTCTCTTTCTCACAAGGGCTTTTCTTGACCTGGCCCCTACCTTCCAAAATTGCCATGCCTTTTTTGTCTGCTCCTGAGTTTTTGCATAGACTCTCTCTTCTGCCTAGGAAACTGCTTTCCTCCCTCAGCTCTCCTCTTTCTGGTTAGCTCCTGTGTTTTTCAGGTTTTAGCATAAGCATCATTTCTTACAGGAAACTTCATCTGACCTCCCTTGACATAGATATCATTGTTCTTTGGCTCTATAGTTTGTTTGTTTCTCTCATCATGGAATCTATCCCACTTTGTTGTAGATGTTTATTTAATTGTCTCTCTGATAAGAATATAAACCCCCTGAGAGCAAAGACAGTGCCAGACTTGCTCACAGTCCTGTTCCACAGCATAGTACGTGGCCTTACCCACAGTAGCCTCAGCAAATATTTATTAAATGAATGAATGTATGAGCAAGTGAATGAATGAATATTCTCTCCACCTGTAACAAAAATCACTCAGTTGGGAGGAAACCCTACATATAATACGAAGTAGTAAAGCTAATGACTACCTCAGTGTCACATTGGCAGTATATGGGCAGAACCCAGGTAAAAATTTGGTTCTCCTAACTACTACTAATTTGTGCCTTTCTTATTGGACAGTACTGCAGTTAGATAAAATAAATGTCTCAGAAGCCTTTTTAACCAGTACCTGATGGAATTAAGTTTTTGTTTTAATGTCAGCCCCCTTTTGCAGAATCCTCAATGCTGTAAATACATTGATTTCACCTTTCGTAATCCCATATTGAAGACAGAAATAGAAGTTTATGGTTTTTCCAGTAGAAAACAGCTCAAACCAATTAGATGATTGTCATAATTTATCCTTTTTTCTTTTTTAGTTGTTATAGCTGCTGATGGAGTATTGAAGGTAAGACTACTTCTTTCACTTTAAAAATTGTTAATTTCAGATGTAGATTTTTGTAACTAATAATTCCTTAATTAGCCAATAAGTAGAAAATTGATACTGATTCCTGTCTCCTCAGATTTGTGACTTTGGTGCCTCTCGGTTCCATAACCATACAACACACATGTCCTTGGTTGGAACTTTCCCATGGATGGCTCCAGAAGTTATCCAAAGTCTCCCTGTGTCAGAAACTTGTGACACATATTCCTACGGTGTGGTGAGTTCATTTCTCATTTCTTGTTTACTAAAGGAAATACAAAAAGCAAACACTCTAGAGAAGAGGAGAGATACAGTTTAACATGGTTTTATTTTTATTTGAGACTGTACTGCTGGTGGAATGCCTGAAGCAGCACCACTGGAGAACGCTTCCTAGTTGCCAAAATGTTTAATCATTTTTAATCATCGGAGTTATTTTGTCCTGTGTCGAGAAGAAACCAACACCACTTACAAGCAACAAATTAAATGGAACCCGAGATAGTGTTGGGCTCCACTTTGCCTGAGAATTATTTTTTGCAGGGTGGTAATGTGACTGTAGACTATCTCTGTAATTTCAATGGAAATGTGGATCATTTGGAACAGGACTTCGTTGTAATGGATTACTTAAACAGTATAAAATCACCAATAGAGCTGCCAAGCGAGTTAATTACCAGGAAACTTTTGAGTCTCAACTATTAAACTGATTCATCAATTTCTGAAAGTCCAGAAGAAAATGCACTTAGCACTTACCAGATGACTTTGTCCATGTCTGCTGCCAGTCTTAGAGTAGCAGTGACTATCTGAAGCATGACTCTAAGACATTACATAAGAATCACAGCAGAACCACATAGAGAATTGACTAATGTGGGGGTGGAGTGCTCAAGGAATGGAGACCACAGGAATGAATCAGTTAAGGAGCAGAAGCTCCTGGAGGAGGAATTTGGAGATGGGCCATTTCCTGAGGAACAGGTTATACCTGCATTATCAGAGAGAAGGAAGTGAGGAGTGGGAGAGTTCTTTGCTGGAGGAAGGAATTCATTTGTTGCCTTTTGTTGAGGATAAACTTTTCCCTAAAATGTTATGTAGTCTTTAAAAAGTCCAGAATAGTTTTGGAATTCCCTATCTTTACATCTCATACTGCCCTGCTATTTATACTATTATACTGCCCTGCTGTTTATACTATTACTTCCTAAAAGGGCATTTTCATAGTACTGGGTAAAGAAGCAGTCTGTTTTGGGTCCAAATCAGCATGCCTCTTCGTCCTGAACTTTGTGTTTTCTTACCACAGGTGGTAGCCAATGACACAAGAGGAGATTCACGTTGTCAGACCTGTTTTTTTTTCTTTGTTCAGTCTCTAGGTATTTAATGCTGGCTTCACAGGTTTTGAACTTGTTTCAGTGACTAGCTCTTTCTAAATCATAACACATCCTACGTATACCAAGTTAATAGAGATTAATTTTGTTAGCTATTGACAAAAATCACTTCAAGAATGAAATATATGTTTTTGGCTGAAGGCTAGAATTTTAAAGGTCAGAAGGCAACAATAATATCAGGCTTAATACCTGATACGCAAAAAAAGAAAAAACATCAATACCTGATATCCCTTGATTCTGGATGTTTCTTAAGAATGAAGACTATAAGCTATTACAGACAGTGATCAAATATTTCTCATTGAGAAAAAGAAAAAACAAAATATAAGTTTCAGAGGAGACTAGCTTCTAAAACTAGTCTCCTATGTCAAATGTTACTACATTCTAACCACCATACATTCATCTGTGGGATATTCTGAAAATGGGGTATTTGTAGCAATTGAAGACTCTGTAAGATTGTTTTCTCTTGTGAAAGTACATTCCTTCATTTATAACCAAACGTTTCTTTGGATCACACACCATCTGAGGATAATTTAAATTTTTCTTATCCTGCTTGTTGGGAATGGCGTCTCATTTTGTCCTGTAGAAATAGGAAAAAGCAAAGTTTTTCTAGAAAGGACCGGATAATATATTTTTTTGGCTTTGCGGGCCACTTACAGTCTCTGTTGCATAGTCTTCATAGATGCCATAGTTGGTTTTTTGTTTCTTACAACCCATCAAACATGAAAAAGCCACTCTGTATTCTGCAGCAGGCCATCGTTGCAGGCACCTCTACGGAGCAAGACGGCTTGGGAAGATGAGCAGCATGGCTTAGGAACATGGCTTGTTTAGTCACTGTTCCAGCTGACGGTACAGAGTGGCTCAGTAGGAGCCCAGCACTCCCACTCCTTTCATGTGCATGTGTGTATAAATGTATATAAACATGTATGTTGGTGTTCTATATATAGGTATGTTATATATATTTGTTATAGTTACTGTAGATGGTTATAGCTTTTAAATTGTTTGGCACATTTATATGAACTAGAAGACTTTTGAGGTTCATTTTTGCACTTATGAGTCCACACACATACAGTGCTTTTACTTTTAAAATTCTCCCCCAAGTCTTTGAATTTCCTTATCTCAAAAATTTTTGACCTTAAGACACAACTATACATAGAGTGAACTTTTGGTCTCAATATTATTTCATGTATGAAAACAAACTTTATGCTGCCTTCTTTCAAAGCCTTACAGTTGCCAGGGCTTTGGTGTGAAATGCACCCCTCTGCTTTTCCTGAGATGAAGTACAATCTTAGTACCAGTAGCCAAGCACAAATTCCTTTTCACACACAAACTGTAAAAGATGTTAAGAGGTGACTTCTGTTTGCAGAGCTTAGGATTTTTTTCCTGTATCATTTTAAAATCTCTTCATACATTCCACATTGACCCCATTTCTTAAACATAGTTTGAGTCAACCTTTCTGGAGCTGCACATTTTCAGTGTTTTTTATTAAAAATCTCTTCACTTAAGAAACTATGCACCACATTTCAGTAGAAGGGCTTGAACACGTCTCTTTGTGGATTAGCTTTTCTCTCTGCTTGTGTGCTGACCCTACCTTTGCTTGGTTTGGTTTGGTTTGGTTTTGGAGGGATTTAACAAACGCTTAACAAACCATCCTATCGAGTAATTTCACTTACTGAAATAAACTCAACCACCAGCCGCTGAGCATTTCCAGTGTTGCTCTGTATTTACACACTGGATGTTGCTCTGCAGAACCTGTCTGCCCCATCATGTGACGTGAAATATCAATTCTGCATTCAGGCTACAGCCTTCCCTTACCTGGTGGAAACAGAAATGCTACTTCAGCAAGTCTGTTTTAAAACAGCTTCTGCTGTGTGACTATCTTGAAGAGAAAGGTTTGCTTGGAATGCTGGTTTGCCTCTCAGATAGTTGTGTCAGTAAATCCATTCAGAAAAGTATACAGATGCTAATTTAATTATAAACAAGAACTTAGGACTGTATATGTTGGTGCAAAAGCAATTGAAGTTTTGCCATTTAAAAGTAATGGCAAAAACTGCAATTACTTTTGCACCAACCTAGTATTTAATTCTGACCTCTTCTCATTCTGTTTGTTCTAAATAAACACTGTTAGTGAAAGAAAAAATACAAGGTATGCTTTCTAGCGACTTTTTATTTAAACAATCACAGATTTTTTTTTTTTTTAATGAAGAAAGCATTATGTGTTCAAAGTAAATGTTATAGAAAAGAGCAGGTGAGGATAGTTGTTAAGGTTGGGACCATTTTAGTTTTAGAAGTTTGTGGTCCATAAACTTGGAAAATGATACCTATTTTAATTCAAAATGTGGTTATTTTGAATTTTTTATGTCTTTTCAAAAATAGGTGAGTAGCCAAGACTCCTTTGTCAGTAGGAGCATTTGTTTGCATTAAATATCCCATTGTTCACTGGGAGTCTGTTCTGTTCATTGAAACCCCATCTGCACACGGCAGTCACACACAGATGAATAAGACCATTTAAAAAAAAGTTGTTTTTTTGAAATCCACCCAAAAAACTGCAATACATTTTTGGTTTTTGTTTTTCTAATTTTTTAGACTGCTGTAAGAATTTAGCCCCTACTACTTCTAAAACTACCAGCCCTCCCCAGGTTGATAAACCTTTGTTGCTTCTTAACAAATGGCAAGACTCACTAACCTTGTACTGCCTTAAAATAAATGTGCTGTGAATGCCAGAAGTGGATTTTATGATCCTTGCTCTTACGCTGGTAAACTTTGCTAGGCAGGCAATGGTTTCCCTCCATTTTATAAGAAGTGAGATTTTTCTACCCTCTTATGAGAACTTCTCTTGGAGGACTGAACCAGGAGGAGTGTTTAGTATGTTATCCACAAAAAAGGAAAAGCAAAAATCACTGAAAGAATAAGCCTTCTGAGAACACAAGGCCTAGATATTCTTAAAAAAAAAAAAAAAAAAAAAAAAGCTATTCTAATGACAATGCAGAAAGGATTACCTTCTCAGAAGCCTCTCAGCCAAAACCAGCCTTGAAAACAGAGTGGCTGAAGAGACAGCATGGCCGCCTGGCTTGTCTGTGAGCACTGTTCCAGAACAAGCTGGGCTCAGGTAATGGCTTTCTATTGTTTGGAAAAGAAAGGGCAGAAAAAGTACGCAGTCTTTTCCAAGTTTCTATTCTGTAAACTGAAAATAGAAATTTTCCTTGTGAGCATAGTTTAAATGTGAGGACGTCTCAATATAAAATGAGTCGGAAAATATTTTTAAGGTGAAAGATCACAATAATATTTGGCCTGAATCCCCATAACTGGTATTTTTAGGCATCATTTAATATATTTTTAAACCTTCAAGTGACTTCCTCAATAAAGGTACTTTTGTATGCCAAATGTCATTTTGTTTAGTGTAAAAAAAAAAAGCTGGTGTCTTATACCACCTACTTTTTGATACATTCCCGAATCCAGGGAATTAATAAAAGGAAATCATGAGATGTGCTGATACTGGAATAAAACTAAAGACCTCATTTGGGCTTCAGGACATAACGGCTAATGACGCCACCTCAGACACTTTTACTAACTCCCTCAGCTGTCGTAGCTCTTCAGAGACACAGAGGGAGTCAAATGAAACTGGCTTATTTTTTTCTTTATTTTTCACAGTTAGAACTCTCAGAGAAATATAACTTAAATTTTATTAGATTTTGGACATTTTCCAGCAGAATATTTTGGAATCAAGAATGACGTAAATGTTTTTCTGGTGTTATCCCCCAAAACTCTTGGTTTTGCAATTTACTTCACAAAATTCAGTGTGTGCATGTGTGCACACGTGCATCATACCTGCAGGCCAAACTCAGAAGGAAAGAGGCACCGCTCATCTGCGCGTTTGGGGGTCTGGAGCATTTGATTTATTGGAGGCTAACTCCCTGTTCCCATTCTCCTCAGGAATGCCACATCCATTAATTTACTTGCCCTTCATATCCTTTCCCCTCCCCAGCCCTAGCCCCCTGTGGAGTGGTAATTGCAGCCAATTGAGGGGCTCCATTTCCTGCTCAGCCCTCTTGCTGCCCGGCCTCCCTCCCTGTGTAGGTCAGGGTGATTGCATACCTGTTCTGGCTCTCACCCTTCCTTTACGTGTGGTGTTCACTAGAATTGTCCCCTTATGGGATGCCCCTTACCTTTTCCTAATCACTTATGTGACTCAAATAGAATTATTCAGTAGCTCCTCTAAAGGAGTACCTTACACACTTGATTAAAAGCCCAAAGAGGCTTCAGTGAATTTTTTTCTCCTGCTTGAGCAGCATCTGCCAATTTCCCTGATTTTCCTGCTAATTATCTTCGTATTAGCCAGGATTCATTTACTATGTTATGGTTCGAATGAGACTGAGCCCTGGCTGAGGAAACAGTGGATATGGAGTGAAAGGTTTCTATGATTTGCTTGACTAGAGTATGTGTGCTCCATCTACATTCCTATTAGAAATGAGCTTTTGTTTTTAGAACAAGGGAAATCTGAGTCGAAGCCACTGGTTCTCTTCCTGCTTCTGCCAGGGCGCCATACCTAAGACAGGGCCTGTCGCATTCTCTCTAGTACTGCCACTTGCCCTTCACTCAAATTAAAAGGGGTCAAGAGCCTGACCTTCAGGGCGAGCCAGCAGGTTCATATTCTGGCTCTGTCACTGGATAACTGAGTGTCTTTGGGTAAGGTTTTTTTTTAACTTTTTAAATAGTTTCCTCACCTATAAAATGAAGGTAATATGTATCCAATAGGATTGCTATTAATCATGGTAATATGTGAAAAGGGTATCTGGAATATAATAAGTACTCAATAACTTGTAGTGGTTTTTATTATTAGGACTATTACCGATAAAATTAGAATTGTTTTTGCACTTTACAGAGTATTGGTAGACTCACATTTTTGAACTCCATTTGTATAAATAGGGAAAAGTAATGTAGTATACAAATCTCCATTACTCAGTGTTTCAAGAGAACCCAGTTCAGCAGTATTCCTAGCATCCGTTTGCTTTCTTTGGGCATTCCACTCAGATTTAATAATCATACTGATCTCAAGAACTGCACAAAGATGAACACACACATCAGCTCACATTCACAGTCAGCTTATGTGTATAGAAAGTGTTTATTACATCTTAGAGTACGGTATAATAGATTATATTGTAGGTAGATGAAAATAGATCCCTTAGACCGACTCATTTTGAGGGAGATTTCTCCAAAATCTAAAAGGTAACATGTAAAATCTAAATATGACAATTTTGCAAGTGTCTACCAATGTGGGGTGGGTAGGTTAGCCAGTGATTTGGATTTGGGGCTCAGTTATTTTTGATGAGACCATTATTGATCCTTTTAAAATACTGTTGAATTCCCAGTTATTATTTCCTAGACAAATATATCAGAAATTGAAGGTAGAAAGAGTTTTAACTAACAAAATACAAAATCTAATTTGTGAGAACATAAAAATTCTAACAATTTATGAGATGACATTAAATCAGTCAGGGCCATTGGCTTCATAAAATTTTAAGTCTGGCTCTAGATGTCCTAATTTCTAAACCAGGTTTTTTCTTTATAAAAAAGAACATAAAAAGTATTTAATATATGGAAGAAGTTGTGTGCATGAGCATAATTGTTTTGCCCAAGTTTCTACAGATGGGGTTGGTTGTGTCTGGTAATTAGATACAATTACATGTTAGATAAAGTTTCAGTAATATGTACCAAAAAATATAAAGTACAAGAATAAAAATTCCATTTTCTTTTTGTTCCAGGTTCTCTGGGAGATGCTAACAAGGGAGGTCCCCTTTAAAGGTTTGGAAGGATTACAAGTAGCTTGGCTTGTAGTGGAAAAAAACGAGGTAAGACTACGTTTCTCCATTCAGGTACATAGATCAGAAAACAGTATTGGGGTTTTGCAAAAGACTTTTTCATCTTCTTCAAATTGAAAGTAAGTTCACGCTTATGGAAAGATTAGCAGTAGGAGCTAACACAAAGGGTCAAAGTGATGTTATTCCTCATGAATGGACCCTTTACATCTAATTGTTGCAGCTTCACGTCGTGATGCTGTAGATCAAAAATTGTACAAGTACTGTACTAGTTTCTCAGTCTCAATTGTAAAACCTAGGGGTTTGTTCTTAGTGATGAAAGAAGCCATTGCGTCCAAGGTAGGGGAACAGTTTAACTCCATCTCCTGCGTTTAGGACATCTTTTTTACTGGCCGGGAGTTGATATATCTGTAAGAGACCTTCAGCTACTTCAACTTACCTCTCCCAGCAGGAGTCACTATAGTACAAGAAACTGTCGCTTAGATGAGAATTTCAAAAATAAAAGAAGAAAAAATAGTTTCAAAAAAGGGAAAAATTACAGTTTTGCCACCTACGTTGAACACTACATTGAAGATGAGCTCCTCACTGGAATTGGCGAGGCAGTGGCATAACTGCTCGCTTCTTCATGCAGAGCCTTTCCATTTCAAAAGAACTTCAGTGGCGTAAACACCGTTTGTGCTGTGTCCCCAGCCTCGCTTCTCTTCTTCCCACAAATTGAGGCTTTCAGTTAGTTGGACCTATGAGCCTACATCAGAGAACATGGTACATTCATATCAAAGAGAGCAACTACATTTTGAAAGGTTTAAAATTGTGACTGAAACGCACAGCCATGGAAATTCTCAGCATAAGGATGAAGCCTCCAATATCAAGGTATTATGAGAACTTAGATCATGTAATGGAAGCAAGCAGTTGTCTTTGCAATGCAAAACTACTTTATTTCACAAAACTTCTTCATTTCCAAATCTTATCTGTGCTCTCCACAAAGGGTAAGACTGCAACCTTAAAATAAAATAATTTGCAAAGAGGTGAATATATAAAAATATTCCCTTTTTAATGCTCTAAAAGAGTTAGATTGATCTGCTTCCCAGGTGAGTGCAGGAATAAACTAGATTAATCAAAAAGCTGCTATTGACTAGGAGAAACCAAGTTTCCATCTTTTAGATCACATAATCCAAAGTTACCATATAATTTTTCCTCCTGATTCATTGGGAGTGGATGAAATGTTGATGATAGCTGAAACTGATGGGAAAGAGCTGCCAATTTAAGAAATGAAAAGGAGTTATATGCAAGAATATGCCTTACTCATTGTTTCACAGGAGCTGTTCTGTTTTAATTAAAAGTGATAGTAATTACTCATGTGCTATTAAATAAGATCTTACACACAGGATAACTTAATATTGTCATAATATGAGGACACACATGTTTCTGTTCTATTTCTTTTGCCAGTGAGATGATTAGAGATCTGGTTCTGGGTTTACAAATGAAAGCAAAGAAAATTACTGACCTTGTGTAGACTCTGGAACCAAAACATCCAGTGTAATCTTTTCCCTCTGCACTATTCCAAGATAAATTAGGAGAAAGGTTTTTTTTGTGTGTTTTTTTTTTTTTAAAGCTAACTGGACCCTCCAAATATGTATAAGACAGAATAATTAATATTTTTAAATAATAATGTATCTAAAGGGTGGCAGAATAGATAAAAATTTTAAAGTACTCTTTAAAACATTGGAGTATCTGTGAAGGATTTTTAAAGCCGAAGATAAAAATGAATTTAGAAGCTGCCTGGATAGTTGACTTGAGGATTGGAATCACCCATGAATAACCTTCAGAACCTCTTCAACACTGTACATGCAGAAGCAATCTTTTTTCTCCCCGGAGATCCCAGAAAGTAGACTTTACTATTTTATTCATGGTGTGTTCTGATGATCAGCTAATAACTGATGAAGACTACTCAAATACTTCCCACACTGTATTCATTAACTATTATGGTAAGTTGAAAAAAGCCTACATGGTGAAATACATTTTCTCAACTTTCTAATGAATTTCAGTAAAATTGGGTATTACAAGGATATTTATCTGCTATTCTCATTCTGTACAATATTTATTTGTCAAAAATACGGAAATTAAGTTTCAATGTAATTTTCAATATCATCATTCAAGAAGGTATCTTCATTTCGCCTCACAAATGGAGGTAACCATTTCCAAAATAAATTCTGTTGACATAGCATTAAGATAATTCACAAGGATTTATTTCATTTCATTACAAAATTAAGGCTTTGACTTAAAGAAATATAATGTACCAAATCCCTTCAACTTCTAATTATTTTACTTTATTTTTACTATTGAATATTTTGGGTTATGGGTTGAAAAGAGAAAGTCGTATTTTTAACAGGCCTCATTTAAATAAAGAATGACATGTTCAAGTGTTCAGGAAGACATTTTAAGTGTTATCCAGTCATCTATAATACCTATATCCAAGTATTAGAGTTGTCTTCTTTTAACTTTTTATTTTGAAATAATTATAGATTCACACGAGTTTTCAAAAATATTACAAAGAATCAAAAAATTAGCTGGGTGTGGTTGTGCATACCTGTAGTCCCACCTACTGGGGAGACTGAGGTAGGAGGATCCCTTGAGTCCAGGAGGTCAAGGCTGCCACCATTATCACACCACTGCACTCCAGCCTGAGTGACAGAGTGACACCCTGACTCAAAAACGTTTTTTTTATTTTTAGTAGAAACGGGGTTTCACCATATTGGCCAGGCTGGTCTTGAACTCCTGACCTCAAGTGATCCACCTGCCTCAGCCTCCCAAAGTGCTGGGATTTATAGGCATGAGCCACCATGTCCAGCCAAAAAAGTTTTTTAAATTAACAAAAACTAAAGAAATTTGTGTACTCTTCACCCAGCTTCTCTCACTGGTGAAATCTTACATGTCTGTAGTATACTGTCAAGACCAGGGAATTGAGATTGGTGCATTGCTCTTACCCAGACAATAGACCTTACTCATTTTCACCATTTAAGATTACTTTTTGCATCTATAGAAAAATCAATACTTTCTAAAAATTATATCTGAAGATGTTTGCTTCTAATCCCTTAATAATAAAATGAGATGTTTAAGCAATCATTTTTCTAATATTAAATCCTATTAAAACTAGATTCATAAAGCACTGCTAAACTTTACAAAGTAAACAATGAACCTTTATAGAAGGCATGAAATTAAGAGGGCATTACTCATACATTTTTTAAATGAAACAGATAGGTATATTTGCTTTTGTCATTTCCATGGAACTCAATCAGTGATCATTCAGAATGTTCTGGTAGCATAATTTCTATTTTTATAAATACTTAAATTCTTACATATAAGGTGTTCTAACTAACAAAACTATTTGACTAACATAGAAATGTTCATAAAAATCCACTGTTTTTGATTATACTTTAGAAAAAGATAAAAACTTGAGTTAAAAAAAATTTTACGTCTTATGTAGAAAATGGTGCAAAAATGAATATGGTCCTTAAAAAATGTCATGCCTAGTTTAGTGATTGGGAAATATTTTAATTTGAAACTTTTATTTAAAAATATTGAAGTTTTAAGTAGTATTGCAAACCTGGTGCTAAGATCTGGTTATTTCGGAATGTTTTCATGTATTAGGAATGCCCACAGTTACGTAATCAGGACTTAAATACTTTGAATTCTATTTTGAAGTAGTTTTTAATGCACCAAAATAATCCATTGCATGAAGTGTCTGAGTCTAGATTTAACTGATATTTGACCACGTCAGATTATTTAAAATAATTGTGTCTCCTTGTGTAATGACTTCAATGTGGTATCTAAACAGTTTTTCAGTAAGAAAAGATCACAGAAATGATCATCCTCCGTATTCAGCCAGCTCACATTCAGTTCTCAGGAAAATGCTGAGACAAAGTTGTATTGAAAAATGTTACCATTGACGAAAACTCCTTATTTTTAGTTAGAGAGTACATTCAAGTGCATAATTGGAATTATAGTCTATTTTTATTAGTTCCCACCTCCCAACCATTTTATATTTAAAAAAGTAAACACCTGAATTTTTTTTTACCTTCATCAAAAGGTCTGCAGTTTACATTACAGTAAAATAATAGTACAGTTTAATACATCTTGTTCTATTCTGTGAAATCACAAGACTAGAAGTTTAAAAGTGCTTAGCACGGCCTTTAGTTCCGAGAGAGTTGTTTTGTTTTTCAACTTTGCTTTGCTTTGATGTTAGGATTATCTGTAATTCAAAATACAGTTTGTCAGTTTTCTTGTCAGGGCAACTATGTTTCTAGTTTCTCATAGCCTCCCCCAAATCCAGCTAAATTCAGTTTCAAGTTTTTATTTGCAAAACTTCTTTGGCAAACAAAACTGTGGAATAAGTCTTAACACTTCTTAGTACAGCAGTTCTCAACTCCATCACACCCAATGCTCATTTTGTACTAACTATGTTAACAACCCCTTACACTCCCTTGCGGTGAAATTCAAAGGTAATACAACTACCTACAGACATCATATTGTAAGTTAACATAATGCTTTAACTGTAATATAAAAGAGAAATAAATGAAAGATGTTTTCCAGTGTACAAATGCTCAAGCATGACCACACCAGAGGAGATGATGGAACAGTTTTAGGGGATAAATAGAACTCAGCAGCTACAAATGCATCCGGATGGAGTTGGGTTGTATTAACGACTCCAGTGCTGGGAATAGCACTGTTGTTGTTGATATTTGTCAGAAATCTTGATAAAGTTATGAATCATGCAAGAATTAATAAACCTTTGATTTATTTCATTTGGTAGATGCATTCTGCAAAGTTCAGTGTATCTTAAAACTGTTCAAAAAAATACTTTGTGTTTATTTGTAAGTTAGAGTTAGATTCCAGGCCCAGAAAATTATAAACCTCATTGTTTGCTTGTTTTACTTACATGAATGTAAATGGGGCATTTGAAATTTTGTGGGATACAAGGGAGTTCTTGGTTATGCAGGATTTTATGGTATATTGAATTGTCTAGCATTCCTGACCTGTTATACTTAGAAGTCGGTTGCAACCTACCAGTCTCTAAAACAAACACAAATGCTTCTGTGGAATAGAGGCACCACGAGTTCTGTGAGAAGCACCACTGTAGGATGTTAGAACAGGACCATCCTCACGTTATAATTTTTGTTATATCGGGTCCTTAAAGTATATGGGTTTGACCAAAACAAAGCCATAATCAGTCACACATTCAGAATGTCTTATTTACCACTGAGAAATGAACAGTTTTTTAAATTATCTCTGTGAGTGATCTGTGCTCAGATATTTTCAGAGTTGTATACCTGCTGCCAAAGCTAAACTAGTTTCTAGTTACCTGGCCTATTTACATATATCGTAAGTTGCCTATAAAAGCACAGTGATGTGTGGTTTTATATTTAGTATTTAAGTTCCGACTTGCCCTCTCCTACTAGAGTTCTGTTTAGATATTTTATGTTTTGTTGCATTAGTTGTACTGAACCTGACTTCTCCGTTCACTACAGTTCCCTTTCAAGAATAAGTATGAGTCTTTAGAGATTACAAATCTAAACATAAATTGTCACCTGTCACATATTAATCAATGGAAGCTTTAAACTTCATGCCTTGATTATGTTCTTAAATTAACTGTATTATGACCCTTCAAATAGTGTTTGCTGACATGAATGAATAAATCCCTGTGCTTTATTTTGTTTTCTTTCCCTGTCTCTATTGTAGAGATTAACCATTCCAAGCAGTTGCCCCAGAAGTTTTGCTGAACTGTTACATCAGTGTTGGGAAGCTGATGCCAAGGTATACATATGTATTTTTGTTATTGTTTAGAATTCTGAAATTTCTCTTGCTTGGCTTTCAGTTTTTAAAACTTAAGGTAATAAAATTCATTACAAAGCAAAGCTGGATTGATGCCTCTGTGAGCCCCAGATTAACTGTTAAGGTTTTCTGTTGACATCTGCTTAATCTTGATCTCTAGAGACTTCTTATTAACTCATTCTTACAGCACGCTTTGACATTCTGGATTCAGTAAAAATAAGTTTATTATTTTGTTTTTAATTTTTAGTAATAACTATTGCACCTGTATGCTATTGAGATGGCTGAGACACAGTACTTATAATATGCCAGGCACTGTTTCAAACACTTTATGTATGTTAACTCATTTGTTCCTCAGAATGTCTCTATGAAATACATGCCTCAATTATCCTCATTTAACAGATGAAGAACCAAGACATACAGAGGTTACATCATGAGCTCAAGGCCACACAGCTAGTAGGCAGTAGAGCTGGACATGAACCCAGGTAGTAGGGCTGGACATGAACTAGGTCTGGCACAGTCCCTGCTCTTAACCAGTGCACTGTTTTGCTTTTCTAGCCAAAGAGCAGACAAAAGTAGCACTTCTAGAGCATCTTGATATGTACTCCCTGTCCAGCTTCAGTGATGTGTTTGAGCTCCACATTAGAGTTGGAGAAATTCCAAGGCTTAGGCTTTCATGCGCTTATCACATTTGAGCATGAAGGGCTCATATCCTTTCCCTGCAAAGATGATTTTAAAAGACTCTCACATACATATGGAAATATTTACAGATGAAATGATAGGCTAGTCTTGGATTTGCTTCAAAATAAAGTGAAGGGAAATGGATGATGGTGTAGATTAAACAGGATTGGCCATGATAATTTTTGAAGCTGGGTGATAATATATAGAGGTTCATGATATTGTTATCTCTACTTTTGTGTATTTTGGAATTTTCCATAATGAGTTAAAAATAAAAAAATATTCTCACAGATTAAACATTAGAATAAGAAAGCAGTTACACTCAAAGGAACAAAAATTTTATGGTTTAAATTTGTCCAGTTTTTTGTGGAAATAGAAGTATTACAACTGATCTTTTAAACAGAGACTAAAAAGAAAGACTAAAGAATCAAATTTCTTACTGAATTTAAACCCTGTTTCCAATCTGACCCCCAAGAAGAATGGCCATAAAATATTATCTGTTCTTCTACAATATGTTTCTTTAGTGGGAATAACTCAGAAGCAGTTGGTGACAGTGGAGACTGGGGACTATGTTAGTATAACACAGAATTCATGTTGATTGTTCATAATGTTTCCCAACACATTGTTCCGCACTGAGCACAAAGTGTAATAATGCAGCCAACAAGGCAGCAAGTGACCAGTGCTATGAAACCTATTCACTCCACATGCTCCTTCTTGACTTGGCTTAGCTTAACTTGGAAGAATTTGTTGCTGGTTCTCCCAGCAACAAACTGTGCTGTGTACATGTTGCAAAATCTTTGCTTTCACTCCTATTCTTTAGACTTCCCTTGCCCTTTTTTTTAAGTAGAGTCCTAGATATTCCTAGTATTATTTTTACTAAAGAATCGTGTTTTTAAACTGTGTTAGTATTTTATTTAGGATTGTTGTTCTTTTTATTAGTATTTGATGACACAGTTGCATGGTTTTTAAATGGTCTGCCCTACTCCGATTTAGGCCCTATAATTTTTAGTACATGATTTTGCAGAATAGGGATTTTTAAGCATTAAGAGAAATGCCTATACTTTGCAACTAATTCAGTAGAAACTATAAGCAGGTATTTTCAAGCTTGCTTTAAAACATTTATTTTATACTGTTAAAATGGTATCATACTACCCCTTCCCTGTCCTTCTTACTAGTTATATGTCCATTGTGATGTGTAAGTCATTTTGGACATATGTTTCTCTGTGATGCATAAATAGAAATTTTGCCTGAAATTATTTGCATTGAATTTGATTATTGCTACTAGATCTCTATAATTGTGATTATATTTCAGTATGCAAAGCAAGTTTTGAATTTCTTAATTGGGTGCTCAATACCACATTAATTAAAATTCTAAGAATGTACATTTATGGTACATTGATTAAGTTATACTATAAGCACCTTACACAACAAGAACATTAGGCCCAGTGTTGAAACCATGCAGGTATGTCTTTTATATGTGGTAAGCTAACCCTTCTTTAGGACCAAAGAAATCTTGCGTTCCAGCCACATGAAGTATAAAGGAAGTTTAAGATTGATTTTTAGTTTCTAAATCCATGACATTTTATTCTGATTAAACAATGACATGTCCCCTGTATTTGATTTGGTTAAATACCTGGCCACAGCCCACATTTCCAACTCTCTCATTGCTGATCTCCTCTAGACACACTTACATACTTTCATTCCCAAACCTGTTGTCTTCGTTCTTTTCTTTCTCCTCTGAATATTTCATCATCAAGTCTTCCTTGATTATTCTATTTATCCCACCTCAGGCTTAGCACTTCTTTTCCTAAACCACAGTCTGGGCCTTACCTGGTACAGCTGTATTTTTAAAGACATATTTTCTTCCTAGATTTACTGAAGCTTTATAAGGGTGTAGAGGTAATTGTTACATGTGTTTCCCTATTGCACATTACATCAGTTTGGAAAGTGGATGCCCAATTTGTTGTTGCCTGAAGTAGCCAGACCACAGTACATTTCCTGAGAGGTACATCATTTTCTGGCTAGAAATATGTAGCAGTTCAACCAGAAGTTAGTGCCAGTCCTATGCACATATGTACAGCAATAGTTAATTAAAGTACTTTCTTTTTTTTTAAGTCCTTAGATTTTTAGAGTATTGACATCTAGATTAAAATATTCAGCCCACCTGTAGAACTGGTGTTCTTTTGCAATGAGGGTCGGGGCGGAGGTGGTGATGTATGCAAGAGGAAGCTGATATTACGTAAATGTCAAGTCCTTCTAGTGGCTTACAACAGGTGCTCAAAATATTTTATTGAAGAGAAGGAGAAAGAAAGGAAAGGTGGGTATTGGTTCAGGTCCTAAAATGACATTTCTAAATACGGAGAAAAATAAGTTGGCCTGGTGCAGTGGCTCACGTCTGTAATTCTAGCACTTTGGGAGGCCGAGGCAGGCGGATTGCCTGAGCTCAGGGGTTCGACACTAGCCAGGCAACACAGTGAAACCCCGTCTCTACTAAAATACAAAAAATTACCTGGGCGTGGTAGCACGCACCTGTAATCCCAGCTACTTGGGAGGCTGAGGCAGGAGAATCACTTGAATCCAGGAGCCGGAGGTTGCACTGAACTGAGATCGCACCACTGCACTCCTGCCTGGGTGCCAGAGCAAGACTCCTTCTCCAAAAATAATAATAATAATAAGTTGAAGTCATAAATTCAATAGGAAGTAGTGTCTTACCCTTACGTGATAAAAGATGTTGAAGAGTTTAGGAACAGAGCCCTTGGTTCTGTAACTTCCTGAGTGATGCTGGGCACTTCCTGCTCTTCTGAGACCTGTCCTTACCTATAAAATGAAGATAACAAATAGAGAAATAGTGTATGTAGATGCTTCATAAATGGTCCCAGTTTTTATTTTAATTTTTTTGAATAAGCAAAATAATGACTAAAAGGAACGTAATCCCCTTCAGAGGAATTTATATGAGATCCTAGACCAAATATGTATTCTGTAACCAAAATATTCATAGAATAGTATTACCACAAAAAATCTATATTGTTATCACCTCTTAAATGTTCACTTTGATAACCTCTATCCAAGAGTAGGTTCTGACTATAAAATTAAATTTTTTCTAGGGATGCTGGTCATCCAATTACAGAAGAGTTTCTACCTTATTTTAAGAATGATTAAATGTAGGGAAATTATTCTTTAAAAATTCATTAGCTCCTCCTACTGCTTTTCCTTGCAAAATGAAAATCCTTTATTATATAATTAGCTCTTATGCAAATGATTAAAACATTTTTCTGGCCAGGCACAATGGCTCATGCCTATAATCCCATCACTTTGGAGGCTGAGGCAGGAAGATCACTTGGGACAAGGAGTTTGAGACCAGCTTGGGCAAGAATGCGAGACCCCTCTGAACAAAAAACTAAAAAATTAGCCAGCCATGGTGGCAAACACCTTTAGTCCCCGCTACTTGGGAGGCTGAGGCAGGAGGATTGGTTGAGCCCTGGTGGTTGAGGCTGCAGTGACCTATGATCACACCACTGCATTCCAGCCTGGGCAACAGAGCAAGACTCTGTCTTAAAAAAAAAAAAAAAAGGCTGGGTGTGGTGGCTCATGCCGTAATCCCAGCACTTTGGGAGGCCGAGGCGGGCAGATCACGAGGTCAGGAGATCAAGACCATCCTGGCTAACACGGTGAAACCCCATCTCTACTAACAAAATAAAAAAAAAATTAGCCAGGCATGGTGGTGGTTGCCTGTAGTCCCAGCTACTCGGGAGGCTGAGGCAGGAGAATGGCTTGAACCCGGGAGGCAGAGCTTGTAGTGAGCCAAGATCATGCCACTGCACTCCAGCCTGGGCCACAGAGTGAGACTCCGTCTCAAAAAAACAAACAAACAAACAAAAAAATCATTTTAAAACCCGATACGTGCTGGGAGAAATTAAGAGGAGGACAAAGTTAAAGAAGATAAATAGAACACTTTTCAAGCTTCCTACTTAAGGCATTTTCCTCTTTGCTTATTAGAAGGCTTAATATATATCAGTAACATTTATCTATTCCCTTTTCAAGGAAAGACACAGACACACACATGCACACAAGTGCCCTTGAAAGAGAATAATAATGGCAGAACTCAATATATATCCTAGGTTTTTATATTTCTGAGAAATGGAAAAATTGCTTTTCTTAGTAATGTAGGAAGCACTTAAATCCTGAGAGCAAGCCACGACAACATTGTTTCTTCTTGTTTTTGTGCTCTTAAATTAAAATGCATGTTTTAATTGCTGCAACTATAATTTGTTCAGTAATGGTGTAATTATGAGGCATGATGAAGAGAGAATGTGCATCATCCTTTTTATTATCTTTCTCTATTTTTGTTTTAACCTTTTGTCTCAACCTTGGCTAGAGTCTAAAGAGACAGACTAGAATAGTTCTAGTTACTGCTAGCTGAAGAAACACACTTAATGCTCATTTCTAGTGAACAGTACCTTACAGTGTCTTAGCACTAAAGCCAATTATAACAGAAAATAAATATTGAGAACAGTGAAGTTATGACAGCTTTAAAATTGGGGGATTTTTTTTTCTTTTTTTTTTTTTTTTAACTTTACTTTTAGGGTCAGGGGCACATGGCCAGGTTTGTTATGTAGGTAAATTGTGTGTCATGGAGGTTTGGTGTACAGATTATTTCCTCACCCAGGTGATCAGCATAGTACCTGAATTTTTTTTTCTGACAAACCAATTTGGAAAATTCTATTAGTTCCAATAGATTGATAGGTAGATTTCCCCCCAACACTTTATCATAAAAATTTTCAAACAAAGAAAAGTGGAAAGAATTTTACAGTGAACACTAACATACCCACCACACAGTCTACCGTTAACTTTTTACCAGCTTTATCACGTAGGTTTTTAAAGGACTTCACTGTTTCCTTTTAGGAGTTCTTAATCATAACTAAAAGAGAGAATTAGTGTTCTCCCTTCCTGGAGAAAAACATGAATTATCCCAACCTTAGGCCACATGATAGAAAAACAGCATCTGAATCTCTCCATGTGAATAGTTCACTGAGAATAAAGAATACAGTTCCCTAAACCTGAGTGATCTGATGAGTGTAAAATAACTACATCAGGACATTGCATCATGTTTTATTTTGTTATGGTGGGTTGAGTTTATTACTATGCTTGTAGTATCTACGTTTTCTCTTAAATATCTCCTTTCTTAAGTCCCAACGAATGATTACTGATTTTCTCTTCTTCAGAAACGGCCATCATTCAAGCAAATC